ACAATCTGATGTAAGACTGGTACTACAACCATCTCAAGGTGCAGTACGGGTCGTCAGCAAAGCTCTTCTACACCGACACCGACAGCCATGTGTTGGAGATCCAGACTGAGGACGTGTACGCCGACATGAGACGCAACACTGGTCAGTACGACACCATCAACTATCCCAAAGACCATCCGCTGTTCAGCACAGCTAACAAGAAGGTGCTTGGGAAATGAAGGACGAGTGCGCCGGGGCGCCTATCGCTGAGTTTGTGGGGCTCAGACCGATGGTCTGGGGGCGCGCAAAGCCAAAGGTCTTAAAAAAGCCGTCGTGAAAAAGCATATCAGTCATGCCCAGTACAAAAAGGCGATCTTGGAAGCATAGCGCTTCCGCCACGGTATGGATATGCTGCGCAGTCGCGGGCATCAGATCTTCGGCGAGCATGTCAACAAGACATTGTTGAGCCCGCTGGACACGAAGGGCTGGATTGCGGCCGATGGGATCTCTACCCTAGCATACGGGCGAGGGAAGCCAGTGCCGCAGGTGAATAAAAAATCAATGCGTAATTATGATGATAATAGGTAGTACCTGGTAGTGAAAGCTTTCATAAAAAAGCATGACAGGACCCCATCGACTAAGCCGGCGGTGTTTCGGTCCCAAAGGCACCACTTGGAGCTCCTCGCGCACAAACTAGCGCTTGGCCCATCGCTCAAATAATGCAACACGGGCTTCCCGGCCTCAACCACAGCCCGCTCGACCTTGTGGGAGGTCACACTGAACGAAACGCCGGCGCAGCGGGTTTGGCCTTAACGCTCTTCTTTCGAATCGCAAGGGAGGGCTTTTCGCCCGTCAAACGAGTAGTTTCATTATTGAGCGCTTTAACCACCTCAGGTAATCTTGATACCCATTTTTGTTCCGAGTTCCGGGCTCAACCAGATGGCGATGATACTGGTAACCGAACAATGGCTCCGCCAAAGTTCGGTTGAATCTTTGTACGACCCATTGATCTCTATGAACCCGACTTTACCCCTTCGAATCGTGACACCATTTTTATTACACGCTTTTTGCACAGCCCCGCCGAACTCTGAGCCAAGGTCGACCTGCAAAACTTTAAGCCATCGAAGAGGCCCACGAGAATAAATAGACTCTAACGCCTTCTCAACCTGGGTCGCTGTTTGTCTGTGATCGCTTGGGCATCTTTATACCGACTTGCTACGTCGACGACCGTCAATTCGCACTTGAATGTGCGTCTTCCGACTCGATCGTGAGGAAAATACAAGAGATCGGCCTGGTGGACCTCATTCGGGGTGCTGATATCAACTTATGTCGGGGAATAGTACTTCGCGCTTGTGCGGGCAAGTAGATCTGCCAGATGGCTTGTTTTGTTAGCCATTCATGAGCTACATCCTCGCCGACGCCAGCCTCTTTAGCCAGCTTTGGGATAGCTGCACGGCCGCGCCAGTACCCCGCATGAGTGTAGTATGCCTCTGCAAGGCGTTTCTCAACTTTTCCGTCCGTAGAAACGCGACCATGCTTTGTCGGGACGGCGGCTTTGACACTACGTGTCGTAGGCGACTTCTCTTCAGCTTCGAAATAGTCAGGACCACCGCTAGTGGTCAGAGGCACAAGGTCGAGCACCTTCTGATCATTGGCTAGAGTGTCTTTGCCGAACACCTCCCTTAATCGCCCCTCTACAGAACCCTCTTCTATAAACAGCCGCCCCGCTAGGACAGCATGGCGCTCGCAGACAGCCGTTGCTCGACTCTGCACTGCAAACGTATTCGTAACCATGACCCGCTCGGGAAAGGCCTCAAGAAAATATCTGCGCAGCTGAGGCTCTGTATATGCTTCCTCTATTTCAGCGAGTGCACGTCCAAAGCTATCGAAGACAAGCACATGCGTTCCAGTACAACAAACAGTTAGCCTATGGTACCCCCCTTCGACCGAATCATAGAGAGGGTAGATGTTGTCCGTGTTGCTGATGCAAGACTGCCCATTGTGGAGATGTGGTAGGCTGTCGTAGCTACAGACCCCAATGAACCGTCCTCGGGCTCGCTCGGCCTTCAGGAGGCGTTCGATGTCAACCCGCGCTAGAGAGCGGGTAGTTCATCATCCATTCCTTATACTATAATTATGCCAGCATAATTATATAGGATAGCATAGTTACAAGAAGCACAGCGGGAGTCTAAAAAGCACAAGGGTGATGCTCGCCAGCGTTAATCAGTTCTCGATGATGCGCCTGTAAACATTCTCGAGGTATTGGAGCGCTTTTACAGTAAGTGGGCAGCGACCGCAATGAGCAATGCCGCCTTTTTCCCTCAACACGCACGGCAGTTTCTTTTTCCCCATGTCACAAACGCTTTCCGATACCTTGCTCTCCATCCCTCCAGCGAGACATCGGCAATATGTCCGCACTCCAGAAGTGGAAAACCTTTCATTCGCCTTTCAGACCTTGACCCAAGAGATCGTGGCGAACTGCTGCAGCAACACCATTGCAGGCAACCCAAAACTTCTCCGGAAGACCCATAATTACCTTGATACATTGTTCATATCTTTCTGATTAAAATTAATTAATATCAATGGTTCTTTGATCCAGAAAGATCGGATATCCTTTGGAAATGTACTCTCCAGTGTTGAATTTCAACCAAAAGGACACCTCATTAACTTGTTGGTAGGGGCGTAGACGCCGCAAGTCGGGCTTTGCAACACATAATTGTTAATACCGTCGAGTGTCTGCACGAGAAAGGTCTTGAGGACCCGGCTGTCAGAGTTGTCCTCATACTCCACAGCGGGGTAGATCAGATCCGTGTAAAGGAGGACTGCCCGCCGACCTACGCTCAGGTCTACTGCATAAGGAAGGGTTTTCACGATTCCGAAGGAGCCACCTGCGGCATCCCACGATTTGCCTGCCGCAATCCATCCTAAGCCGAGGATGAGGGAGGGGCTATCTTTTTTCATCTTCAAGGTCTTACCACCCTGCACCCTGACCTGAACTCGGCTCTGAGCCTGCACGTAGCTGAAGACTATACCGTCATGACCGTCGTTGGTCAGAGTCTAGTTTATAACTTTGATGAGGTGCCCGACCTCTGTGTATTTTCCACGTGAGGATGCTGAGCGCGGTGTCGTTGTCACCAATAACAAAGTACAGCTTGTTTCTTTCAGGCCCGACATTCATAATAATGGAGCTCAAACTATCAGAAATAACAATCTTCTTAGTCCACATCAAATATATATTAAGTTTATACAGAGACTACTTATCAAAAGAGAGACACATTACATCGTTTTGCCTTCAATTTTGGATCAGTTTGCCCAAGCTGTAGGTGAAAAAAAGTGCTATGCAATTGCCACAATAAAGTTCTTACACTGAAATTTCAAATGCATGCTCCAAATGGAATGATATAACAAACCATAATGGGCCGGTTGTTGAAAGCCTTTTTCTCCGTACTAGTTTTAACCATAACTTTTTAATCAGTAGTTTTTTAATAAATTGCATAAAACAATAGCGCCCGTTTTGCAAAAGCTCAGTCACATTCACTGAGTGCTACATAAAAATTGCACTCTCAACAAACAATAGCCAAGTCATTTCATCAGTAATGGCAAGATTTGTGCTAAAAAATATTTCAAATCAAGCAATCAGTTGAGTGAAAATGATGTCTTTAAATAACTATATATAACTATATATATATGTATATAAATTTTGTATTTACTTCATATAGAATGAAGAATACATAAAGCGGAGATACTCGCTGAATCTTGTTTTTTGCAGGCATTATAATATCTAGCTTCTTAAATAACTGGAGATAAAATGTGTGTTTATGGAGACTCGATTCACCACTATAAGAGGGCATTTACAGGCCCATTTAGACGAGCTAACCATACAAATTGATTGAAACTAAAATCAATACTTAAATGAGTGCCTCAAGAGTATTTGAGATGTAAAAAATTCAAAATAAGTGACAACGTACCAGATAACTGATTCTTTTTTATAATTTTATTAATGATAGCTAATTTTTCATGTTTTTTTTTTCTAGTTATACATACATAAACGTTATTTGTATTATTGGTAGTTTTTGCAATGTTATTAACGTATGTTAAATAACGTTTTATTTACAGTTTTAATAAAGTTTTAATAGGAATTCCTATTGATAATTTTCGTAAGGGTACAAATGTTTATTTACAAACTATAGTTCACTATTTGTTCCGTGTCCAATTTCAGCAGCATTCTAATCTCAAATTCTAAAGTCTTAGAACATTGAATCTAAATTTTTATTCCAAATTGAAAGGAATTGTAAACAATAAGAAATAGCATAGTGTCACTGATTGAATAAATTTACCCTCTTCTGGTGTCAATTCAACTTCTTCGTATTCAAGTTCTTGCATCAAACTACAGTTTAAAACAAGACATAAGATGTAGATTACAGCATGCTATAGAATATTCTAAGTCAATAATCATATTATTGTTTTTTGGTACGTAGATAATGTCATACAGATGTCGTAAAGGGTTGATTTGAGAGCCTAAACATTTACCATACATCCTAACAGTATTACCTTCAGTAGCATTCAAAAATGTCAAAAATTTTGCCATTACAATATTTTCGTACAACATCTCCTTCCCCGAGCTGCAGCTCTGTTTCGACAACACTTCCACAAAACGGGCAAAACATTAAAAAAATTCTCTGTCTACTATTGAACAAAACCTGGGTATTTCAAAATAAATATGATTAATTTTTGTTTTAAAATTGAAAGTGCGCCTGCATTAATTCCGGTAAGCGTCACTTTGATTTTGCATGGCGATAACTTAGTTTTGCATTGTTGAATATAACTTTTGTATTCATGAATGTTTTGTTGCATTACAAACTTTAATTTTGTACTGGACATTTTTTAGTGTATTGCACATACGGGCCACCGTATAACACAGTCAATGGTCGCAATGTCAATTTTCAGCGAATGCAATTTCTTTATTCTAGCACGTGACACACTCTCGACCAATGAAATATAAGTAAATATTAATAAAATCTACTGTATTGAGTATTAGAGTTAGTCGCTCATCAGTCATCAATTCTTTGGTTGAAGGTGTTCTCCGAGTCCCAGGGCGACAAAGTTTTTTGGTCAATCGCATAGCTGCAAAACAAATGGTACGTAGTTATGATAAAAAATATTTTGCTCGATCTTATAATATTTTACTATTTTGAGTTATTTTGGGTTGTAAATTTCATTGTACTCTTTGTACGACATTCGTAACCAGTGCCAGATTAAGATGTGTGGAGGAAGTCGCAGCCAACGTCTGTGACACTGCTTTTTCTCTTACTCTAAACGTTATGTGCGATTTATTTTTCCAATAACAAAATACAATAAAATAAACAATTGATTAATATAGAGGCCTTATTGTTGAGTTCGCAAGGCAGCTGCCCTGTCTTGACCTTTCGTTAATCCAACCCTTATTTTGCGCAATTATTGTCTATGTAATGGACATCTTGTTTTGTTTGATTTTAAAAATGTGATGAAACATTAACATTGAAACTTTAACAATTTGCAAATGTCTATATGAGTCTTTTATTTTTATACACCGTGTAGAATAGTGACCGTATTCTGCTTTTCCGTGCCAGGCGGTGTCTGGCAGAAAACTATACGGCTATACCATCATTATATAAAGAGCAAATTTGATTCAATTTTTTACTATTAAATATAGAACTTCGCATATACCAATCTATTTGTACGCGGAATAATTTCCTATAATTTCAGAATTATTGGATGTAAATTAGTAGCAAAGCTGTCGTCCCGTTGTTTACATTCGTGACTTGGGCTCTAGCCACTTTGTAAAGTCCAGAGTCCTTATTGAGTTTAAAGACACAACAGTAAACAATGCAGCAAACGAAAGAAGAAGCTCCATTTAAATTTGTGCATTAATTATTACAATTTAAGCAATTTCATCAGTCGTGTGGTATGATCTAGAGGAGGTCATACGCACCGAATTGTCGTCACAGAAATTTCTCGTATTTAATTACAAACGAACGGCGAAATTATTTGAAGATTTACATGAATTTACCTGATTGGGAAAATCAAGGCATTAAGAATACCTAGTTGAAGCAGTTGATTCTATAAGACATTGAAAATAAACGACAAATTTTTTTAAAGCAAACATGTTTCGGCATACTTTATGCCATCTTCTGTGCGAAGTGAATAAATACAGGAAGTTTACATGATAATAAGTTATAGTGATAAAGCTGAAATATCGAATAGTTTTGAAAAATTATTTACAGTTGAATGAGGTGTTATAAAATGTTTGTGTTAGGTTTTATCACAAAAAAAATATTACAAAGAAAATGAAAAATATATGATAAGGCAGTAATAGCCATTTACAGGTCAAAGATAGTGTTAAGATGTTGTATTTGTTTGTTGATACAAAAGCTTCTTTGAGTTTAAGGGCGAAAGGAGTGTGAGCGGTGTCTAAGATACGGAAACAGGATTGTGTGTAATTGTTTTTGCAGTGTGGTGACGAGAGTAAGTGTCCGAATATGTGTGAGTTTTTGTCCGTGGTTGTGTGTTCTTTAATCCGTGTGGAAAGGTGGCGGGTGGTCTCCCCAATGTAACTGGAATTACATCCAGCACAAGAAAATTCATAAACCACGTTGGATTTTAAAAGAGTGGGAATAGGATCTTTGAAGCTAAAGTGATTTTTGGTTTTAAAAAATGAAAAAACTAGTTTGATGTCTAAGTCTGTGCAGTAGCGTTTTATTAAGTTGTGTAATTTCCGTTCCGTTATTCGTGAAATATAGCCTATGTAGGGTAGTTTGAACAAGTAAGTCTCGAGTTGGGTAGGTGTGGGTTTGTTTCTGGTGTTTATCTTGTTTATGTTTTTGTCATGGTCATATGATTTAATGATTTTTTCTATTAAAGGCGAGGGAAAGGAGTTTCGTTTGAGATTGTCAATGAGAACGTTTAAATCATGATAGTAGCCAGTCGACGTGTTGTTAATTTTCCGTATGCGGTCTATAAGAGTTTTTATCAGTCCTGTCTTATACTTTTGAGAGGTGAAGCTGAAAAAGTTAAGTAATACGCTAGTGTAATTTTTCTTATGACGAGTAGATGTCGTGTATGTGTTCGTGGCTGTGTTTTTAGTAATGAGTATGTCTAAAAATGGTAACTTGTTGTCGTGCTCTTTTTCTATGGTAAAGTCAATGTTGTTGTCTTGTAAATTTAAATAATTAAAAAAAGAAAGAGCATCATCCTCGTTGTTAAACACTACAAAATATGTCATCTACGTAGCGTCTGTAAAACAATACTTTAGGTCCGTCATAGATCTTGATCCAATTCTTTTCATGATATCCCACGAAAAGATTGGCAAGAGGTGGTGCTAATGGTGAGCCCATTGCGACTCCGTCGATTTGGTCAAAAAATTGTCCGTTAAATAGGAAATGAGTTTGTGAGGTGGCAATGATAAAATGTTGTTTTAAATCTTGTTTTTTAATAATAAGGTTGGAATGGTGTGAATAAATAAGATCTAATGCAATGTCTATGGTTTCGGTTAAGGGGATGTTAGTGAAAAGACTTTGGGCGTCAAAAGAAACGAAGTAGTTGTTGTTGTGGTTATGGGTGTGTATCTGATGTAGTGTAATCGTTGGGTTTGACAGGGTTAAGTAAAGTGCTTGGAGAGATTAAAGTTATATGAGTTGGTGGAAGAGACTATAGGTCGAATGGGAGGAGCATTATAGTTTTCTCTATGTTTATGAAGTTCGGGGAGACCATAAAAAGCGAGCTGGTTGTGAGCCTCTAGGGAAAACTGAAGAGTATATATGGTTGCCTATAGAGCACTGTTTTTTGAGATTTCTGAGAAAGCGTTGTAATCTGCCTTCTTTGAGCAGAGTGGGGTCATTGTCTAATGGTTAAATTTAAATTTGTTGTTGATTATGTTTAAGCATGCATTATTATTTACCTTTATGTCCGTAATAACTACTCTGTTTCCTTTGTCTGGTTTCAGTAGAATGATGTCCTTGTTGTTTTTAATGTTGCAGTGTTTTTTGAGATCAGATGGTGAAGGACGGTATGACGAGGTGTAACTTTGTGCGATGTTAATGTATTCGTTCTTGACATGATTATAATCGTCATTGTTTTTCAGCTTGTTAGTGATGGTGTAGTGGATTCGTTCGAATGTTGAGAGGATGTCGGTGTCGTTAAGTTTCGGAGGTTTAATGGAGTAACAGAGTCCATTCTTTAGGAGATGAAGCTCTTCAGGTTTGAATGTGTGCGAGGATAGGTTAGTTACGGTTTCTTTATATGTGAAGGGTAGTGTCTTGTTTCTGGTGAGGTTGTTCAGTTTCTTGTAGTGGTTATGTAGAAGGTTATTGATTTTCTCACTACCTTATCATATATTTTTCGTTTTCTTCGTAATATTTTTTTTTGTGATAAAACCTAACACAGACATTTTATAACACCTCATTCAACTGTAAATAATTTTTCAAAACTATTCGATATTTCCGCTTTATCACTATAACTTATTATCATGTAAACCTCCTGTATTTATTCACTTCGCACTGAAGATGGCATAAAGCATGCCGAAATATGTTTGCTTTAAAAAAATTTGTCGTTTATTTTAAATGTCTTATAACCATTGTGCTCTTACGAAATTATGGAAAAGTTGATTCTATGTAATGAATTTGCCGAATTTTCAGAAGCCGTTTATTCGGGTAGTTACGAGTAATGGCTGCAATGTGATCCAGGCATGAAAATTTAATGCAGACAGATTACAAAGTTTTTTTGCTGGAAAATTATGGACTTAAAATATTTGTTAGATGTAGTAGCTCTTTAAAATTCTGTTGATCTGATGTGAAATTGTTGATTTCTTTCATGCTTTTGAAACTATGATTATAGCTAAAGTTGAATTCTAATGCAGAATGGTATAGGCTTCTATTTCGCGAGGCATTTGTTGAAAAGGAACTCATTGTTTGTGCATTATAAAACACTTCTTTTGTTGAAAAATAGTCTTCTTTGTTACAAATGTTACGGTTTGTACAGACTTTGATATTGCATAGGAGTCCGATCCAATTTTTAATCTAATTCTTAAAAAAATATTGAGTTGAGTAATGACGAAACTTCTGCATGTTTTTTCAAATTATAAAGACCAAACACCACACCAAATCATTAATTATTTAAAGACTAGATCAGATCATATTCATGACCAAATCATCACTCTCTGTTTTAAAGTACAGACAGCAATGTATACTTCATTCCAAGTAATGTATTTTACGTAATATATTACATGTTTCAGTAAACATTTCATTTATGATTACTGATACTATACTTTCAAAGGATTTCCTAAACATATTCGAAAGTATATTATTTTAGCATACTGTATTAACCATAATTGTTTGGTTGAAGTGGTTAAGGGATTGTAATTTAGAGTCATTTAAGAACATAATGATTAGTCATAATCTTTCTATAAAGTACAGGCTTTGTATTTAAGAAAACTATTGAATCTTTAGCATTAGGACGAATTTTTCCAATGATTTTTTTACTCGAAAACAATCTTCGTAAATGAACCTTTAGGTCAAGAGCAGTTTGACACAGTTGTCTCTACGCGCAACCCAATCTATCGTAAAGCCTTTTTTTCTTTCTCGATTCCATGATTCTCGCGCTATAAAGTTACATATTTTTATCAAATAATCAATTATTGTAGTCATATCTCCAGAAAATGAAAATATTTCCTTAAAACACAAACAAAATTAGGAACGATAATGAAGGAACTTGATCATGTGACTGACATTGTCCAATCAACGTTTGCAAACCAGAGAACAATCCATGACCCAACTCTTACAAATAGAGGGCTCTGATTACAAGGTCAACTTCAAAGACATGCTGTTAAATCCATAGATCGTTCAAAATTTTATACGTCATAATTTGTTATTGATATTGTATAATGCAGCGCTTCGTCGATATTATTATTTGGTCATTTACGACAAAATTTATTAGTGTTTTATAAGGATTGTGTCGAAATAATGCTGTGTAAAGTAAAAAAATATAAATTTATCTATGTTTGAATAAAATTTTGAAGCCTTTCTCACAGTATTAAAGCTCTTTGATATATGTGATCTCTGAAATTCGATATTGTATAATTTACAAAATCCTGACGGTGTCATTAGACACACTTGACACCCCCTGAATCTGCTCTGTTTAAGAAATTCATGTTAACTGCAGTTAAAAATTATTGCGCATGCGTTTTAATACATCTGGCCCTAGAAGTGCTTTATCCAATCTATAGTTCAATGGTACATTATCAAACTTTTTAAGGTCCTCATCTAAGAAAAGCGATAAACTTTCCTCAACAAAATTGTAAATATTATTGCTCATGTTTACTTTTACTTTTCATAATGTGCTATTAACACTCGAATTCACCGTTCAAGGCATGCATATCACAATAATCATCAAAAATCAAGCTTCTAAAAGAGCTGCATCTGTTTTAATATGCATAGTGTCAAATTGCTAAGGAAAGGCAAACTTTCACCTACTATTTCCATTTGTTTTTAGCAAATGATCAGAATATTTCACCAGTGATGCAAATATGGAATAATTCATAATTTTGAGATAGTAGTTTACAGTCTCGATACATCAACCAGGTGTATTGCACTTTACAGTGCAAACGTTTTTTGTTAAGTTTCATTTTTGATCCCCAAACCGGCTACCATAAGTAATTTCCTTGGCATCGAAATCCCTTTTCGTTTACACCTATAAAGATGTTATCCGTGTTAGTATTTTAGATGGAGTGTGAGAAAAAAGAGTCAAAATTCATTTATTTTGATAGGTCAAATGTCAAGATGCTGTTTGAAATATTGTTGTCAGTAGTGGCAGTTTACCTGATATCTTACATCATTCAAACTTGGCTTGAATGTAGAAAATTACCACCGGGTCCCATACCCCTCCCTTTCATTGGAAATTTACATCAAGTGGGGAAAAAACCTCCATATACCTTAATGGCTCTTTGCAAGAATTATCCTGACGTAATGACGCTAAAATTCCCTTTTGGGTACTGTATTCTTCTTAACAGTATAGAAGCTGTTCGAGAGGCCATGCTGACCAAAAAAACTGACTTTGCTGGTAGACCAACTGAACAATTTTACCCAACAACTGTCATAATGGGTGAGAGGGATGTCGCCACTATTGATTACGGACCAGCTTTTGTATTTCGCTCAAAGGTTTTTAAAAGCGCTGTTCATTTATTTGGTGATCAAACCCAAAAAATGGAAAAGCGTTTCCACAACATCGTTTTGTCCATGTTCACAAGGCTAGACAAACTTATCGGGGAAAACGTCGATTTAAACAAAGTCTTTGAAAATACAATTTTCGCACTTATGTGGGAGTGGATTTCATCTGAACGGTTACCCCATGATGATGAAAAAGTAAAACAACTCGTAGAGTTCATAGAAAAATCTAGTTACTTGGGACGCCAAGGAAGCTATCATCAGCTCTTTCCTTTATTGCGTTATCTACCGAGTAAATTCAAAACTTATCTCAACGAAGTGCTTAAATCCAGGTATGATTTGTTTGGTGAGGTCTTAGATCACCACAGAGCTACGTACAAAGATGGAGTGGTTCGCGATATTACAGATGCAATGATTTTGTCTTACAACAATGAAATAAAAGAAGGTAAAAATATTCATGGTACAATTGATGACGTAATGTTCTTAATGATTGACATAATAGCTGCTGGCGCTGAGACAAGTGTCAATGCTTTAAATTGGTGTATCTTACACCTGGTGCTTCGTGAAGATATACAAAACAAAATACATGATGAGTTGGATAATTGTATGGAAAACAAGAACATGCCAAATATTTTAGATTTAAAAAAATTTCATTTTTTGAATGCTTTCGTTTGTGAGGTCTTTCGTTTGACTACAGTCTCTCCGTTTTTCCCACCCCATCGTACCATGCGCAATACGACTGTTATGGGCCACAAAATACCTAAGAACATGATGGTGCTCGTAAACAACTATTGCGTCAACTCTGATCCACGTAATTGGGATGATCCGAAATCTTTTGATCCTAAGCGTTTTCTTCAGGACAATGGGGAATTTGTTGGATGGACTAAGCACCAGGCTTTTATGCCGTTTGGTCTGGGACTACGTGCGTGTCCAGGAAAGGAGCTTGCTAAACTTCAGCTATTAACCATTCTTGCTAGTTTTCTGAATCAATACCATTTTAAGTTAGCTGAAAATCAAAAGGTACCTCCACTACATGATCCTGTTTTGGGAGCAACGTCACATCCACAAGAATACTTAGTGAATTTCACGAAACGAAAATGACACGAAAAGTTATCATTTTGTAGATATGTTACGATTTTCTACAATCAATAAAAACTCTAGTTAAAAAATGGATTGGTCATGATCAGGAGTATTATAAGTGCTTTAATATTAAAAAATGAAATGAACAAAATTTCTAACAGCTATTCATAGAAGTACGTTTATATATCCCCCAGACTTAAGTACATGTTTCATGTGTCTGAGGCTTCTTGACAACAGCACCAAGTAGACGCAATGCAGTTTTTTACAAGGCAGATTTAACAACAAGGAAGTATTCTGTGTAGTATTTATTGTTCATCTGTAAACATATACCATGCCCAAAGCCGTGAAAAATTGAATAATTACAGTTGCAATATTATACATTGCTATTAACTATGATGATTTCAAGAAATGTTTTCTAACAATAAAAAGCTCCTTACTGTCATCTTTTACTTGCGTTACTTATTTCTTGAAAAACATATTTAATTCTAGAATTTCCCTCAGTTGTTATAGACACAAAAAGGTCTTTCCCTTTTTTTACCCTTAATCTCTCAAAGTCAAATGCTGTAGAAGCAAAGCTATTCAAAAACTAAAATCCTTTCACATACAACATAATATGATCAAATCAATTTGAGAAGTGTGCATTGTTTCGTTTTGTCCATGATCATTATATATGTGAAATAAAGCAGTTATTACCAAGACACATATATTTAATCAACATCGTACTGTACTGCACAAAACATTGGGGTCAATTTTCTTAAGAGAAATCAAAATTTTCAGCTATACACTTTATTCGTTACAATGTCACTGTGAGTCTTCTTTAATTTTCGTATTTTCAACGTGAACCCGCATCCTGAAAGTCAACATCAGTTTGTCAAATTTTTAAGATTTTCACAAAAGCCGAGAGTTTTTTTATTTTAAGTCATTTTTATAGCCTACTCGCGTGTCTTTACAAAGTAATGGATTGAACCTTACGTACGTTTACGTAAAAAAACGCAATTTCAACGCAAGTTATTTGCGCCGATATACTACGTTTTGTGCAAATTAAATCAAGCAGTTAAGTAATTTTAGTTAAGGAGTTATCTGCGGTACTTCGTCTTAACTGCGGTTGAAGTTACCTACGTTATTTTGCAACTGACACTGGAAATGCTTGATCCATGCAATAAAGAATTTGTCGGTCTATCATCAAACTTGTAAGGACTCTCGTCTAATGAAGTCGATAAAATTTCCCCGATTATTGCTCATGTTTACCCTTGTTTTTTATAATATCCTACTAACAATGCAATTTCCCGTTAATAGAAGGCATATCACAATAATCGTCAAAAATCAATCTTCTTCGAGAGCTGCATCTGTTTGAAAATACTATCAAATTGCAAAGAAAATGCAAACTTTCATTTTTATTTCCATTCGCTTTAACAATTGAGCGGAATATGGAATTTTGCTCCTCACAGTAAGTAAAAAACGTTTTCTCTTTACAAAACCATAAAAAGTTAAGAAATATGTAAAATAGATTACTTTTATGTAATATGGTGTAAAGGGAATATAGACAACGGCTACACGCTGTAAAAACAGATTAGTCGTAATGACCATCAAAAATTAGGTCATTAGAATGCATATGAGAGAGCCAGTTTTAAATGGTCGTTTTGACCAAAAAGTGCAATTGGTTGAAACGACCAATTTTTTGTTGGATAAAAAAAAATTGGTGAAAATGACTAAAAAATGGTTGTTTGTTGCATCGGAGAGAACCAGTTTAAAATGGTCGTTTTGACCAAAACTTAAATTCTTTGCAATGACCAAATTTCATTGGGTATAATATACTATGTTAATTTGACCAATTATTTTTAGTCAAAAGTATTCATTGTGATTACCATTTCCAGGATACATTGACAAATAAACAGTATTGTTTCTGCCAACCAGGGGCGGATCTAGGTTTCTTTAAACATCAGTCATAAAAAGTCGGAGGCATTCTCCCCTGAGAAATTTTGAATTTGAGAGACTTGGAAATGCCATTTTCAGAGTTTTAGAGCAATACAAAATGCATTTTGTGGGCATTGTTTTTGCGTAAATAAAAAACATTTTGCCTACGTCTTTTTCAAAAAAAACTGAAGTGAACAATACTTGAATGTTTTGCCAAATATTTAGGCTCATTATCATGTCAAATCTATAGCTCATTAGCATGTCTAGGAACATAAAATTTAATTTACAATAATGCTATTCCAAGAAAGATATTGCCTTCAAAAATTTCTACCAAGTTGTCAGGCGTAGACCCCCCTAGAGAACCCCATTCACAATTCTATGTAATGAGTTAAGTTAAAAATTTGGTACTACAAGGGACAGTTCATAGATGTAGAAAAGCTCAGACTTCAAACCATCCAATTTTTTGTAACCCTTTACCCATCTTCACAAACAGTGCCATCAAATTCACCTTCTCAGAAAAAACTCAAAATTTTTTTCTGCCAAAGATTAAGCAAAAAGTATCAGAGTGAAAATTTGCAATTAAGGACAGCTTAATGCCATTAATGTTTATTAGGCATTTCACTAGACTATTATCTTCTGTAAGAATATGCAAGGTGTGCTATATAGCAATCACCAGTGGCATTGTATTTGCCAATATAAACAGAATGTAACCAACATGCCTTTAATCATATAATTACATGAATATTAAAACTAGTTCATGTGTCATGCTTACTGGTTATGATAAATATCTTTTCATATGATCAAAGCTCGTTTAAATGTAAATTTGAAAAAATTTTGGTCTTGAAATTATAATGATCATCAGAAAAATTACCTAGTGATCATGTAAATACTTTGCTGTTTGCCAAATTTCAAGGTTTATCTGCATACACGGGAAGACATTTTTACTTTATAGAAAATGCTTTTCATACATCAATAGCCCTTTGGAATTTATGGCAAACAATTTGGTATGAGCCGTAGATCAACAGACCTTGACATCTCTACATGAGGTGTTCAGTTAGAAAAGGGAACAATATGTGACATGGGACATTATTTCATGTATGTGAAATACTCAGGTTTAATACCATCTCTTCTGATCCATAAAAAGCTTCATAGATCAGAAGAGAATCAAATCACATGATTGAATAATAAATGATCATAAACTGAAAAGCCCCAAACATTTGTTTATGATAAAGTAAGTAATAGTATGGCACCTTATGGCTACAGATTTTTTATCCATTACAACATATTTGCAGGAATGTAGGATTTCGCTGCCACATAACGGCCACGATTCCCCAAACACTAAAGAAATCGTAGCTAAATTCCTTCAGCAACAACAATTTTATAAGCATCAATCTGCTTACCATACGCTATTATTGACATAAATCGCATCACACACTCGCATAAATTGACTTTGATATTTTAGATTCATGCATGCACTTCAGTTGTCTTTTACTTACGATTTTGGATGTAAATTTCTGCTGATAAAACTCAAAACAATGTTGGCTTGCTTTCAACATCAATGACTGAAATGTCGCTCGCGAGATCGTCTTTGCCAAGCATTTACAATTTATCCATAAATTTTTCACCCTCTTAAAAAAATTCACAGTTTGGACAACCGAATTCACGTTAATATATGAATTTGTAAAAGCTTTTCATTAATTCCATCTGATTGTAGTTTAGTTTCTATAATGCTGTAGAAAATTACTGTGAAACGATCACTCATTCGATTCAGACAATGTGCTTGACTACGTTATTTCAGTTGGTTATCAGTCAAAATCGGTCAAACCAATCACAGTAAGACAAAATTTAAACGAACCAATTATACAATAGCAATTGGACTCCCTTATAGGTCTGGCCAGACCTCCTTATTGGTTGAGATTATTCCAGATCGTCCACTGATCTGGATATTGACCAATGGAATGGCTTAAATAAGCATTCTTGAGCTCCATTATCGGTCGAACCACTCGAGCCATCCCGCTTATCAATCATTCTGTTAATATGATTCTATATATGTTTTTATATACTCATCTGTTTTCTAAGGTGGTATTTGTATAAGTTTTTATACATAAAACAGAATTTTGACGATGAAATCCAAACGATTGCAGAACGAAAATTTAATGATCATAAAAATTGTAATCATTAAATTTGATAAATAATTCATGAACTATAAATATATGTCGCGTGACTGATTTGACATACCCTAGATCCGCCCCTGCTGCCAACAAATCATATAATTTTGAAGGAAAGTGTTTGTTAAAAATTTTTAAAGAATAATTACAAGGTGAAAGTTAACAAAAAAATAAATAGATATTGTATTAGTACAAAATTATAACAATTAAAAAATGTAACCATACATGCATCAGCCACTGTTTTTCATGCATGTGTTAAAAGTTGTTTTATAAGCAATTTAAGTGTTCAACGCTCATTGACGCCCTGGCCAGTTTTTCAGAAATAAGTATATGTTCTAAAAAGATATAAATGTTTTTGCTGTGACCAGTTGTACCTCTAGGGTACTCCGCATTAAATGTGTAATACGGAACAAAGAGACATACTACAGCATCAAATATTGTTGGTTTTTCGAATTTTCCTACCACCATTTTCTCTGCATTTAGTACCAGCGTGTAAGCTGCGGTATAAATCCAGTAAAAAGCAACTTGAGTGATGTGCATAATATAGCTTTGTCATTTACTTCACAAACTGCATCATCATATCAAATGAAACATCACAAATTACTATTTATAAATACTATATTCCTGTACTAACTGTGCTCGATGCTTCGATCAGAATATAGAGATAACGAAAAATGTCACAAAACAGTACAATTTCATCCAGACCGGACTATTTCATGATTGAATAACCATGAAAGGGGCAAGAGATTTAAAGACCCAAAGAGTGAGTAATCATGAAATATGCAGGCTTAATGGTCGGGATGAAGTTGTAGTTTTGATATTTTTTTCCTTATCTTTATACATATTTATATATTATATAGACCAAAATTTTGAATGAAGTTGCTTTTTACTCTTTCAATGATTTATCCCACAGTAGTAGTCTTAAACGAAGATATGACCTTCGCACTTTGTTGGACAATTTAAGCAATTGTCTCATGAAACTGAAAAATTCAGGTGACTCGACGGGATCCACTAACATTCTTTCACAGTAATAGTCTTGGAAACTAAACACATTTTTGGAATAAAAATTTTGTTACCGAAAAGCATTTTTAGAATAGCTTGAGCACGTAAATGAAGAGGGTAAAAAGCGATGAAAACCTATCAAAATATGATACATGTGCTTAACATCAACTGTTTTTTCATGAAATTTAGCTAAAAGATAAGCAAACGTTTCTGCAGGTTCAATATCGCTGATTATTTTTGATTTTACCATTTTAAACACGATTTTTTATAATTTTTATTAGTCACTAACCTGCATATATATTATATGACATTTGGTGTGCACTTTATTAACCATGCTCAACTGTTTTTGTAACAAATGACTTTGGGGTGAACAACATGACACACGTGCCAATTCCTCAATCGGGAAGAAATTCATGGAATTTTGAGCCCCGTGAAATGGCAGTGTCGACATAGTCCTAACTTTCAAAAAAAACAAAAAGAAATAACCTTTCTGAAGGGCTTAGTGTGTTTGGAAGGTTCAGTTTTATTGGAGGTAATTAGAAGAAAATATTTGCATAAGTTCAATATTTAATGAGAAATTTACCATAAACCATTTCTGATCAAATAGCAATTTTGCATAATCCACAAAATCTCCAGGCAGTTTGAATTTACTTCTTATCAAAAAACTCACTTGTGAAAAAAAAGAACAATTAGTTACTGTAACAATGTAATTTTTAAAATAATGGAAATTGTTTTGTTGTCATACGATGCACTATATATTACCTTCTTCCTCAAAGAAACAAGTTTTCATTTGTCTTGTACATGCTTTTTTTGTCGAGTATTGCATGCATAAATTTGTTGATTCTTGTATACATTTTCATGGTTGTATTTGTTTAATTTCGTCATGTTTGGATGCACTGCAGTGTCTTTTGTCTTAGATATTTTGCACGAGGCATTCTTTGAATTACGTTTGCCGTCATTGCGAAGTGTTCTCTCTTCTCTGCTCAATAAATCACACATTTCGGACTTCGTATGTATTTTGACTGTAGTAACGCTGAGCAATACATTATAGTTAAGTCCCAACAAAAATAATTGAATTTTTTTGGTGTTAATCCTGATCAGAGAGGACACTTTACAATGATGGCAATCTTCACAGAATGTCCTCGTGCAAAATATCTAAGACAAAAGACATTGAGGTATCAGGTTACTGTGAATGTGTAAGTGTGATGTGATGTATTGTGTGATGTAAGTGTGATGTAAGTGTGATGTAAGTGTGATGTAAGTGTGATGTATTGTTAGGGTGAGGTGTTGAGACTAGAAAAGCTTAAGAGGGATGGAGCTGCCTTGGGTGTTAAGTGAAGGTTTTAGTTTGGAGATGAGGAGGCTTTCGTGGATCATGAGGTCGAATGTGTCGGAGCAGGATGAGATGATTTTAAAATCGTCTGGCGAAGCAGGGTGGTTGGAGGAGTTACTATGAGAAAGAATACTTGACATTAATGGGTTCGTATAGTGTTTTCTAGTCAAAGAAGAGATCCCCAAGTGTTCCGAGATTCTGGTGTGTAAGTGGCGTGTGGTTTGACCCACATACGACGCGGAACAGCATCGACATGTGAATAAATAAACAACACTAGATATCAGAGACTTGCGAATTTTGTCCTTAACGGGAAGAAATGAAGAGAGTCGTGTGGGGGTACGGAAGACGAATCTGACATTGAGATGAGAGAAAGCAGCGTTGTAGAGACGATTGATTTGTGTGCGGATTTGTAACCAGGGACAGCCGGTGAATGGGAGACAGAAATACACTATTTTCTTTGGGACACTAAGGACAGGTGGTTTCTGTTCGAATTTTGTGTCAAGGAAACAACGGACAATGTGATCGAACATATTAGTTGGATAGCAATCGAGTTTGAATAGTTTTCTGGTGGTTCAATTTGGGCATGAAAAGTCGCATAATTAGAGCAGAGTTTGAAAAAGCGGTGTAATAGGCCAGAGATTAAGTTGTTTTTTGTAAGAAAGTGGGATAAAGCTGTGAAAGTTTGTGAAACGACCGGTGAATGTGGGTTTACGATATACAGAGGTGGTGAATTTGTCGTTTGAGCGGTAAATGTCAATGTCTAAAAACGGTGGTCGTCCATTATTTTCCGTCTCAGAGGTAAAAGTGATGTTGGCGTTTTGATGGTTAATGTAGTCTAAAAAGAGAGGAACGTGATCAAGTGATTTAAAAAGGAGAAAGCAATCATCGACATAACGTCTGTAGAGAACAGGTTTGAATTTCTGGGGACAGTTTTTCAGTCAGTTTTGTTCATGGAAAGACATGAATATGTTGGCAAAAATAGCTCTCTATATATCTATATTCTTGTTAACTTCCTAATTTATTCTGAAGATGTCTTGACTAAAGACGAAACGTCACTCTTTAATAAATTTCATAAAACCAAATTGTTTATGACTATGTTTAAAATTATTTGTTGGGCTCTAATATTTATATTGAAAATTCTGTTTTATATATGAAAACTCATATAAGTACCACCTTAATAAACTGATAAGTAGATTTTAACGTGTCTGGAATTATATTAAATGCTGACTGATAAGCGGGGCGACCCGACTAGCTCTACCGATAACGTTTTCAAGAACGCTTATTTAAGCCATTCCATTAGTCAATAGCCAGATCAGTGGACAATAATCTGGAACTTTATGTCGATCTGGAATAATCTCGTCCGATAAGCGGGGTGGCCAGACCGTTAAGGGAGTCCAATTGCCATCGTGCAATTGGTTCGTTTAAATTTTTGTCTTAATGTGATTGGTTTGACCGATTTCGACTGAAAGCCAACTGAACTAACATAGTCAAGCTCACTGTCTGAATTGAATGTTTATTGTTTCACAGTAATTTACTAAAGCATGATAGAAACTACAATGAGGGCCACCACAAAAATTTAGGAAAATCTTTTACAAATTCATATATTGACATGAATGCTGAAAAACATTTGACGGAAGGACGCCTTTACATCCTCTTCACTTTGCCCGCGTTTCAGTGCTACTTTGACGATACTTGACGTAAAATTCCAATAATCTACGAATTTTGTTCGTTGTTCTTGAATCTTATCTTTCGTCTCGCGAACTTTCGTGACACAGAAGACAATATCGAACTGCTTACTCTGAATGATATTATACAAAACATCCGTAAGACCAAATATTTCCGAAAATATTTTAAGGCAGAACACAAACTGGAAATCTGCAAGAACTTGTCGGTAGCCCCTCGCTTCGTTTAACGTCGTACCGTCAAACTCGTCATCATTTTCGATGATGTATTCGAAAACTTCGAGCAGCTTTGCTCTTGTCTCCAGTACAGCATGGATTAACCTGCTCTGATAGTGCCATCGAACAGCTGTTCCAGTGGGAATGCGTCTGCCGACAACTGTGTCCAACAGGTATGTTCTCTTGGACGAGGCGTGAAAAAAAGGATGAAAGACCAGTGACGGTTTTAAAAAATATACGACACTCTTTAGTTGACGAGACAGCTTGAACAAGGACCAAATTTAATGCGTGTCCGCAACAGTGGATAAAAAGAGCATGTGGATAGTCTTCTCTTACTCGTGTTTGCAAACCGGACAGTTCTCCTGACATCACACTCGCACCGTCATACGTTTGGGCAATCAGTTTTTCGCCGCATCCGTACTCGTTCAGGGTTTTACCGACTTCTTGTTTCAGTCTAGCCGCAGTTCTATCCTCACTTACATCGGTAAATCCAAGAAAGCGCTCCACAGCTTTACCAACTGGGTTGACATAGCCAACTATAGTTGTTAGCTGCGATAAGGTCTTAACGTCGGAGATTTCATCCAGGGAAATAGCGACAAATGGGCTCCTCATCACTTCATCTTTTATTGCTTTCAACATAACGTCCTTGACAGCAACAATCAAATCGTTCTGGATACGATTAGAAAGTCCAGAAAACACGGTTGTTGTATGAAGATGCTGTTCAAGCGTGGGGTCATATGCACTTAGCAGTTTTATCAATTCGACGTAATTGCCCCTGTTGGCAGACTCCTCCAGCTCCACCCGACCTCTGAAAGAAAGTTCCTGTTTGCCAAGAAAGCAAACAACATCAATGAAACGGCAAAGTACTTCTATATTCTTGTGAGCTGAGATGTGTTGACGGGCCTGTTCGTCTAGCTGCATGTCGATGCGTGTACGCCCAAAACTGGCATTCATTAGGCAACTGGACAAGTGTGTCTTCGTTTTCTCGTGTCTGTTGACGGCATTACACAGGTTGGCCAAATCATCGTATCCCTTCTTGCACCAGACTGTCTTGTCTGTTGAGTTGAACAAAAGACACGGCCAGCAAAATAACTTATTCAATTTTGAGGATCCAGCCAGCCATTTGTACTTGTCGTAATTTGACGTCTGAAAACTTCGAATAAAGACTTTACCACTTCGCTTGGATGTTGTATGTAGTCCTTGCAACTCAGGAGTGGGACGGCCACCTTCGACGATCTCTCGTTTCTCGGAAAAAGGTCTCAATCCAAATGAGCGGGATAACAGTGATTCCACAATGCATTCAGTCATGTTGTACAGGTGTCGTGAAAATACCGAATTGTAGAAGTAGAACATAAAAGGATGAAAATTCCTATGCTATATATTTTATAGGAACATCAATCGTATTTATGCCTTACATCAGTTACATGATATCTTGTAGTGACGTACATAACGTGCGTACATTACTCATCTAGATTCATGTATTAGCAATAGAGGAAATAGCAAATCCTACACTTACTCAAACGCGCTACTTAAACTTACGCACTTAACTTTATAATTACGTAAAACTACTCAAATTTCAAGTACATTATCCGCTGTGTAATAACTGCACCTTGTTTATCAAAATATATAAAAAGCCTGTAAATAAATTCTAACATATAGAATACTCACGACTGTTGTAAATAACTTCTTTGCTAGTGAATAAAATAATCACAAAATTTAATAGCGTTCTAGTACATTGAAATCACGTTCAGAGCTCATACGCAAGACTTATATAACGCTAAAGTATAACATGCTACAGATAATATCTTCTACATACATAAATTAGAAATCTACTACTACTTTGAATTAGAAATCAGAACATTACCTTTCGCTGTCAGTCATCTTTTAATAAACGATAACATTAACGGCGTGAATAATTCGGATGTCCAATGTGTTGAATATACGAATATTATTCGTGCGCTGATATGTGTTTAAAATTGCGAGCGTACAAGACTGTTGACCAATCGCTATCAAGCGGCGCCCTTAGAAGGGCCGCTTGCCTTTTCTCGATATTCCTCGAATAAGAAGCCTCCAAATCTAGATTAACGCATGCGCAAATGTTCAAATTGAGCTCCGAAGGCAAGCGCGCTTGCCTTGGTTAATAAATAATTAATTTAATCCACTTAATTTAATACACTTGACTCATCTTACAAGTGTAGCAAAGTGAAACCGAAAACCACGACAGTAAATCGCGTATAAATAGCAAGCATTTCAACTGTAAAGACAATTTAGACAAAAGATTACATTGACATTGTTTAGAACAGAAAAATTTAAACTGATTTTGCTCAGAGATTGATCCAAAAAATTTTTGTTCGGTAAAATGCTTAGGCAAGCGGCGCTTGCCTACGCTTGCATGACCGCACGCCACTGCTGGCAGATAAGCCTTGAAATTTGGCAAAACAGTAAAGTATTTTGCATGACCACTAGGTAATTTTTCTAATGATCATTTATTATTAATTCTAAACAAAATTATTTCAGATTTATATTTAAACTAGTTTTGATTATATGAAAAGATATTTATCATAACCAGTAAGCGTGACACATGAATGAATTTTAACATTCATGTAATTATATGATTAAAGGCTTGTGGGTTACACCATTACATTCTGTTTGTTTTGGCAAATACTATGCTACTGATAATTGCTTATAGCACACCTTGCCTTAACTTACAGAAGATAATAGTATAGTGAAATGCCTAATAAACATCAATGGCATTAAGCTGCCCTTAATAGCAAATTTTCACTCTGATAATCTTTGTCTAACCTTTGGCAGACAAATGTTTTGAGTTTTTTCTCCAACGGTAAATTTCCTGGCACTTAAAGTGGAGATGAGTAAAGAGTTATAATAAACTTGCAAGGTTGGATGTCTGAGCTTTTCTACATCTATGAACTGTCCCTTGTAGTACCTCATTTCTAACTTAGCTCGTCATATAGAGGTGTGAATGGGAGTCTCTGAGGGGTCTATGCCTGACAACTTGGTAGAAATTTTTAAGGCTATATCTTTTTTAGAATAGCATAATTGTAAAGTAAATATTATACTTCAAGGCGTGCTAATGAGCCTTATTTTAGCATGATAATGAGCTTAAATATTTGGCATAACATTCAAGTGTTGTTCACTTCAGTTTTTTTTTTAAAACTTAAGCAAAATGTGTTGTTTTTACGCAAAAACGATGCCCACAAAAACAGCTTGTATTGCTCTAAAACGCTGAAAATGGCATTTTCAAGGCTCTAAAATTCAGGAGAGAATGCCTTGTACGCCCCCCAGGGGAAAAACGCCTCCGGCGTTCAATGACTGATGTTTGAAAAATCCTTAATCCGCCCCCGTCACCGGTCTTGTTTTGGTTGGTCTCCCTATCTCCCAAAACATGTGAAAGACAAGCCATAATATATGTCTTTTGTTTCTATACAAATTCAGAACAAGTGCATCAATGAATTTTTATTCAGGCAGCTATATTAATGAGACTGATACAGTTTGTCTTTTCGACAAAATGATGTACGTATTACCAAATCAAAGAAGGTATCTATATTTTACCTGACTTTTTTTGTTAGCTAAAATTCTACAACTTGTGTTGAATAACGAATTTAAACATTCAGCGATTGTTGATTAAAATTATCAAATTTGATACAGCAGGCACAGCAGTTGTCAAGCAACTGACAGATTAATTAATATCTCCTTCATTAAAAATAAACGATCCGAAATTTTACTGCATGCCGTAATGCATTTTAATACTTCCTACATATTATACCCAATGTAAATACAGCAGATATTAAATAATCGCTGATAATAGATCCCCTAAATCGTGAAACTCAGAGTAGTGACAGCAGGGAATTGTCATTTTTATTTTATTTTATTTATGTATACATATATATGGTACTTATTATTTTCATCTTAGAGAAGACAACCATGAAGAGCTTGAAATATGTCATTTAGTTCTGGGTTCGCGCTTTATAGCTGTAATAGTCTTAGGCTTCTTAAGACGCCTTTTTTCCCTAATATCTTTCAAAAGATCCGGCTTCTCGAGAACTCTAGCCAGTTCTGCCTTCAACTAAAAATTACATTACAAGTTTTTTCATCATTTGAATCATAACAGCGTTCCTGCATATGTTACAATGCAATGCAAAATATATGTACACAATGTATGAGAAGACTGAACAGTTATGAAATATCACTAAATTCATCATCATGCAAGATTTGCAAGAAAATTTGATATAATTAATATAGTTGGTTGGACTGCCAATTGTTCATCGGATAGTGAATTTGTCTTAAAAATAAACATTATATAAGGTGAAAAATTTTTTCACCACGAGAAGCTGTTTAAAAATGCTTTGCGCACAAAAATGTCAAAGGTAAAAAGCAATTTAAAAAAATCTACTCTGAATGTAAAAAAATTGCTATTCCGAAAATGGTTTTTATTTTCAACTGTTATGCAATGTCACATGAACCAATAGAAGTTCAAGTACCTATTCCACCAAAGATTTTTACTGATCTTGCACCCTTTTTATTTAGAAACTTAATCTTAACTGTTTTGTTTTTTGATGCACACTTATAGTCAGCTAACTTACCTCAATACCCCTCTTGTTCTTCAAAAAATGTATAATCACGTAATAACATTCAAACTCTTGTGTTTAGTTGTAAAAATCTCTTCTGTGTTTGGAATATCTATTGCCCATAAACGTTTTAATCATGGGAAAATCTTTTGAGCCCAGATTAAACATTTGAACAAATTTCTTTCTTTGAGCCTCAAGAGACTCGTCCGTTTCTTCTTCAGGAAACGAAGGCAGGTTTGGCGTAGATATTGTCTTTTTTCTACCTCGTTTACTTCTGGGAATAACAACACCCTCTTTTAGTGACTTTTTCCTTTCATTTTTGCAGAACATTTTCTTAAATTAAGAATCCACTCTTGTTTTTTTTGACAAAATTTCTGCAAAATATCAAATCATTGAATTTGCTTATATAGACATGAAACTGACGTAACAAAATATATAAATCCTTATTGAACGCCTCAGTGGATCTCGGAAAAATGTATTCAGTGGTGGTGCTATTAACTCTATTGCAAAGAACCTGACATAAGTAAATTCAAGTGTACATTTTGGTTTGCCACTGCATTTTATTAGTCCAACAACAAAATGTGTAAATCGTATACAAATTATAGGTTTTAAAAGAAATATTATAAATTAATCATTCTGTACTAAGATCAACTAATCGTTGGGTATGTTATTGATACCTAGGATCTGCAAAGCAAGTTGTGGCTGGAGAATTTGAATATTTTGACATATAGAAAAATAAAGTGACAAACCTTGCTAAAACTGATATCCTGCACAGGTAGGGTTTATACATACAGTGAGAGATTTCTATGGCATATAAAAATTCTAATAATTGAAAAGTGCGAGTGTGCAAAAAAAATACTTGCAAGTGACCGTTGACAGCGCAAATGACCATTAATTGATTGTTGTTTGCCACGTTTGCTTTTGTTTGTTAAAGGGGAATGGCAACCAATTTTTTTTCATTACCAACAAACATTTAAGATATTTAAAAGAGAATGAATTTTATATGACATCGTAATTCTCTATAGAATTCTCCTTAAATCACTTTGAATATAAATGAAATTGAAGAAAATTTCTTCCTTTTGGAAAGATTTGTGTCGGAATCATTCATTAGTCATTTTCATCCATATGAACTTCAAAGGCCCGCTAAAGCTCATTATTGTGTATCCAGTGGCGGATCCAGACTACCTTAAAATAATTTACTGCAGCACATTTCTAAGCACCTTAGAGAGCAACCCATTGGTCAAAGTATATTCTTTAGAAATTAAAAAGCAATAGTGCTTTTCTGAAAGTAATTTGAATTTAAAATTGAGGAGCTATAATTTATTTTGACGTACACTGGATCCGCCACTGCTGTATCTGAGCCATCATTTTTAAATATGTACCTTCCCATGAATGCTGTAAAAGCATCTGGTTGTGAAAATGGGGTTTTAAGTGTTACACCAAGCTACATGCCCCTCAAGTACATTAAAGACTAGTGATAGCATAATTTACATGAAAAATTTTATGAATGGTGATAAATTCACAAAGAACCTTACTTATCGGAAAGTCGTAAAAATAATTTTTACAACTATAATGTATCTTTAAAAGTCTAGTTCTGTTTTTTAACAGTCTTTTCTAATTGGAAAAACTAACGTGTACATAATATACACTAAAGCTCTTACCTGCTCTGGAGAGTGTTCTTCATACTGTATTCGTTCTTAACCAGTCAAATGCAAAATGAAT